TCAAATTCAAGAAGCAAACCAAAGTTGATAATTCTTCAATTTTCATCTTCATCCTCAGTTTCATCTTCGTCCTCATCTTCATCCTTGTCTTCATCTTCATCATTGAGAATGGATTGGAAAGATAGTAGTGTCTTATCTTCATTATCAGATTCTTCTTCCTTTTCTGTATATATGATTAAATTAAGTTAGTGAACCTAATAATTTATGATTAAATAAGTGTAAAGATTATGACAAAACTTTGTTTACGATTTTCATATGCTTCAAATCCCTTTAACCAATTGCGACTACATCTCTCAGTGAAACTCTATCTACATATGCATTGCAGACTTTTCTTTCTCAAAATTAAAAACTTTATTATACTAATCAACCCGAATTGGAAATTGGGTAGTGGTTTACAAAGTCAAAATCGAACATGGATAAACCGGAAATCGCTGACAGTCGATTACGGTTAGCCAACTGAGAGACCATCTCAAATCTCCACCGCCAGCCGAGTTATAACTACTCTTGAATAATCTCTTCGTATTCATTTCTTCTTGATTTGTATCTTTATAATCATATATTCTTGAAAATGTCTCTTATTATTCATTAGTTGTAATGTTTATGTCTCTTATATAAATTGATAAATTGGTCGAGACTGTAATATTTTTTCCATTCTATTTCTCTTATCATCACAACATGGTATCAAAGCAGATTATGCTTGAGTTTTGATTTAAAAGTGAAACTCGTTTCTCACTTTTCTTGTAAGCCTTTGTGCTTCTCTTAAGTTCTTTTTTTTTTGGTTCTAAACCAAGTGCTTTTACTATTGAAACCTAACATGTGCTTTTGAATCTAAACCAAATGATTCTACAATTCAAGCATTGCATATGCCTTTGAATATATGTTATGCTTCATTAGTTCTCAGTCTCTCACATCATCGTCACTATACATGTCCTTGTCCACTGAAGACAGCCATCTTGGTGGTGTAATTCCCACCCCCAGTTTAACTCGATATGAATCGAGACCGGTCTGAACGACTTCGGTTTACGATAATTGATATCAGGTTCAAATCAAATGAGCTGACCTAAGGTCTCTAAAGAAAAACCCATTAAGCTCAGTTTCCGAATTGGCGCCGATTTCTGAATTTTACGAAAGATTTTTTAAAATATCGGAGAAAAAAAATAGATACTTGTCGAAGAAAAGGATAATAAGAATCTCGGAAGATTTTACTTTTCAAGAGAAAAAAAGGAAATCTCAAATCTTAAACCGCCTTAGGAATCTTATAAATAGGAGAAGACTTCATTCATTCGCGACATCAAAAAATCGAGAGCAAAAAGAGACCTCAGAAGTGAAGAGCATCAAGATCGTCAAATTTACTTCTAGTTCTTCCTTTGTTACTTAGTTAGTCGACCTCCGACGACCTAACTTCTTATTGTACTTTGCCAAACTAAGAAACTACTAATAGAATGAGATTTACAATTTGAATATTATTGTTTTACCCCTTGTTTAATATACACCATCAACAAGCCTCAAGCGTCATCCACGAGCTTCAGATCCATTACGTGTCAAGATTTATAGATTGGTCTTCATGGCTGAAGTCCATCTTGAAGGAGTATGTAAGAAAGAGTTCGACTACTCTTGACTAATCTCTTCATATTTATCTCTTTTTGACTTGTATCTTTGTAATACTTTTCACCATTTAAAAAAAAAAAAAATTGTATCGTATCATCCCTCATATACAAGTTAATTTCATGTACATATATTATTATGAGAGACTAATAGTATTCCTTCCTTTCTATTTATCTCATCGTCACAACATTGCTAACCCCGATAGCTCTAATCCATTCAATGAAGAATCCAGCAATAGACTAGCAAACGAATGGTGGGAGAGGCAAACCATACCCAACCATCTCCACCATTAGATCCACCGTGAGCCGCTACAATCACACTAATGGACCATCACAAACCCCTTTCAACTCACCATGCAACCCACCGAACTGCCGCACAATTTCCGCCATGGAGCCACTCTTAATAACTCAATGCCATTTGATTATTCTCTCTCTAAGATTCCACTGTCGTCTTTCAGCAGATTCGAGTCCGATGAGACACAGCAAACCAAGATCCCGCCTCTTAATTTCTAGCCACTTGATGAAGTCATAAACATTAGTTTAATCCAAGGTACAAACCACAAGTAGCCAAGACGTTCTATCAACACCAAGAATGACGACATAGTGTTCAAGGAGCTGAACCTGATCAAATCCTTGAAGATTCACTGCTAATTCCATCCCCAGAATTAGTGTTGTCAAGAGAAATCACCTCTAGACCAGACTAAATCAGAAGAGAATCAAGACATGTCCTTTCAGCTCGACCATCATTCATTCAATCTACCAGAGAAGTTCTATCACCCTTGTTTTGACCAAATAAAACCCAAGCTCAGTTGGCTCAGTCTAGAGACCGCTTAGACCACAGTGTGCGGCATTAGCCCAATATTAATGGGCTTCTTGCACATATGACCTCAAAATTGAAGTCAAATGCAAATCTAACCTCTATTTTCTCCCTCTTCAACAAATGCCATTTTCTCTCTACTATCTCCTCACAACCACATATATTCACGAAAATGCCATTATGTTTTCAATTTTTATTTTTTCTGAAAAATACCAAAAATACATAACCATCCTAAAATATATCACTTATTTACGAAAATGCCATATTCTTCAATTTTGCCAACCACCATTACCAACCAATTTTGAAGCTCTAAATGTTTGCCCAACCAATTTTGAAGCTCTAACTGCTCATTGTGTCGCTTATAACTTCATTTTACCTACAAATTTCTCTCCAATTTCATCTAAAAAACTCTTTCATGCTCATTTTCATAATTTTCAATTTCATAAATCATCTATTTTTGGAGATTCTTGCATAACAACGACTTAGCTAGTTTGCTATCGGTGCTATACAAAAGTCTGGGTGTATGTCAAAGTTAATCGAGTTTAAATTTGAAGTATGTAAACATCTACTTCATTTTCTTTAACATTTAGCTCTGTTTCGCGAAAGCAGACTTCTTTTTCAGCCTGCTAGTCAACGTAAAGGTTAGATTTGCAATTGACTTTTTTTTCATATTTTTGTAAGCAGACTTCAAAAGAAGTGTGCGAATTGTCCTTTGTAAACAAAAAAAATCATGTAGACTTCTTTTGCAGTCTGCGAGAAAAAGGTTAGTTTTGCATTTGACCAAAAAAATTGTCGATCTTTGACTTTTATAGCAGATTTCTTTAGAAGTCTGCTAATTCGTAGTTTGAGTCGAAAGGTTATTTTTGCAATTGACCAAGATTTTGACCACTTTTGACTTTTATAGCTGACTTCTTTTAGAAGTCTGCTATTAATTTAATTAAGATTCGGTCAAATGCAAATCTGACCTACAAGCAGACTTCTAAAGAAGTCTGCGCATAGCAGACTTCTTTCGAAAGTCAATATTTTGGTCAATTGCAAAAATAACCTCGAGTAGACTTCTTTTGTAAAGTAGACTTCATAAGCAGACTTCTCTACTATAGCAGACTTCTTTTACTCGTTAGCAGACTTCTATACATCCGTTCAAAGTCCGCTGGGAAAATTTCACGTTGAAGTCTTCTAGAAAAAAAGGTTATTTTTGCATTTGACCAAATACTTGACTTTTCGTAGTAGACTTCTTTTTGCAGTCTGCGAGAAGAAAAAGTTATTTTTGCAATTGACCAAAAGTTTGACCAATTTTATAAAATATTTGTAATGTTTTTTTTAATTTTTTAAAATTGTAAATGCATTTTAGGTTTGATTCTTGCACCTGTATGAGTTTGATGTGTTTATGTGTTATAAATATAAAGTTATGAATTTTCTTGATTTAAAAGGTAATTAGCACATCTAAGCAGACTTCTAAAAGAAGTTTGTAGACGAAATCTGTTGTTACGTATTAGTATATCATAGCAGACTGTATATGAAGTCTGCCTAATTATTCTTCTTAAAAATTCCATTTTGAAATATTTGTTACTTGTGAAAATGATATTCTTGTTTTGACATGTTTATTTGTTTTTTGTGTTGCATCTGTATGAGTTTGACGTGGTTATGTGTTATTTTTATAAAGTTATGAATTTTTTTGATTTGAAAGGTAATTAGCACATCTAAGCAGACTTATAAAGAAGTTTGTAGATGAAGTCTGCTGTTACCTATTAGCACCTCATAGCAGACTGCATAAGAAGTCTGCCTAATTATTATTATTTTTTAAATCATTTTTAAATATTTGTTACTTGTAAAAATATTTTTCTTGTTTTGACATGTTTATTTGTTTTGTATGTTGCATATTTATGAGTTTGACGTGGTTATGTGTTATAATTACAAAATAATGAATTTTCTTGTTTAATTTAGCTTTTAGCGGATTTCTGTAGACTTCTAAAGAAGTCTACTTCGTAACATGTGGTAAACGTCAAGTGATTGCTTGCTTATGCTTGTATCATATTTATGCAGGTTGTTTCAAAGATTGTAAAGTTAGGAATTTATGCAGGTTGCTTACTTATGCTTGTATCAGATTTATGCAGGTTGCTTACTTATGCTTGTATCAGATTTATGCAGGTTGTTTCAAAAATTAGGTTATTAACATAAAGTGTTGTCTTGAACTTACAAACATATCTTTATAACAATGTTTTTTTGTAATAGAATTTTTACTCAGAAAATTATGGACTAACGGATGTGTCGTAGTTCATGGATCAATTTTGAGCATGTTTTGTTTGTATAATGAATGTTGTGCATCATAAGCCAAGAAGATTAGTCCCTTTTTTGTCTGATCAATCCCAAATTCATTTCTTGGGCATCCACCAAAAACCTCACTCTTACACTAGAGAATAACATGTAATTTGCAGGATATTATTATTGACGTATTTCACTACTACAACAGTCTGATGTTAAAAGACATACACAGGTAAATCCAAATCCAGCTACAAGATAAAACAAATGATTAACAAGGATCATATATAGACAATAATTTCCATTGGGAGAGCTTTCATTCAAAGAATGTTCAACTGAAGATCAGAATAGCCTACTCGAGCCTTGTGCCTCTCAAACAGATCCTTAAGTGCTTCCACAAACTGGCCATGTAACTTAGCAATCTGAGATGCACAAAAAAACACCACAAAGCTGATAAATCCTACAACTTTTACGAAGCATTCTACACAGTAACGTCTAATAGCAAAGCCGCAATTCCGTCCTGACTCCACTCTAAGAAGTAGCTAAAAAACAATACAGAAGAACATGACTAACCTCTTCATTACTTGGCTGCAGAGTTTTTGAAACTTCTATTGGTTTACCAACCACCACGTCCATAGGTTGTCGATACGGCAAGGGAGATCTACAAAACGAAATGGGAATAGTTTTACCTCTTTCAAGATTTTTACAGGCAAAATCAAATGTACCTAAGAGAAACTAATCCACTTACCCAAAAACTCCCCAAAAGCAGATCGGGGTAAACCTGATGGCTCTCGATAATTTCAGGTAGAGTTTCCAGTCTGGCTTCCACCATTTGTACACGTGTGACTGCGGAAGAAACAAAAGACATGATGAATCGATAAAAAAACTGGAAAAGCAGAAACGGTACAAGATCTAAATCATGCATCTGACAAACCAAATCAAGTTTTGAGAGTATCAGTTACGTGAAGACAACTACATAGAGCACAACATTTCTGTGAGCAACTCTTTTCTCTACCTGACCAAAGCAGAAAACTGGAACCAGAGGTGTCCCGTGTTCCATGGCTATGCGCACAAATCCTCTTCTCGATGAAAGGAAGACGTTCTGCAAAAACAGAAACAGTCAATCACAGAAATAAGATACATTCAAACTCTCGGGTAACCAAATCCTCGTCGGCCGAATTTTCGGTGTGATTCTGACGACCGTTCAAGCTCCCGTTTGAGTTCAATAACACCTTCGATTCCAACATATTCAACAGATCTGAAATCCCGTTGAAAATCAAAATCAGTCACGAATTTGAACAAAAAACAAGGAGACAGCAAATCTGAAGAAGAAAGAAAACGAACCAGGAAAAGCTAGCAGAGAAGCCATGAAAGAGAGAGCACAGCGCCGTTTTACAGAGAAAGAGTCGAGGGTTTCTAGTTTAGGGTAACAATTAGTATGTTTCATTTATATAATAGGTTAAAAATATCCGGTTAGGTTAATTATTTTCGGTTTATGTACATTTTAATTTTAATTCGGGTTCGGTTTATGCAGACTTCTTAAATTAGTCTGTAACCCTAAATTAAAACCTATAATAAAGATATTTATCTTTGTTTGTTTAATTTGAATTGGTTATATTACTTTTTAATTTATATACATCAACATTGTTTATATTTATTTTATGAAAACAAATTTCAGCTTAAATTATTTTTATATAATTTTTAAATTAAAATATAAAGTTTAAAAATAGAGTAGACTTCTTTTGAAGTCTGTAACCCTAAATTAGAATTATTCACTTTTGATGTTTATTTTAGATGGTTTAAAATGATTAATTTTTATTAAATTCTAATTTATATAGATCATACTTATTGATATTTGATTTATAGAAACACATTTCAGTTTATATTATTTTTACATAATTTTTAAATTTAAATATAAAATTTAATAATATAGCAGACTTCTTTTACGGTCTGCTGAGCAGACTGATAAAGAAGTCTGCAGCCCTAGTTTAAAACTTTTCACTTTTTATGTTTATCTTAGATGGTTAAAAATGATTCATTTTTATTAAATTATAATTTTCATAGATCATACTTGTTGACATTTGATTTATAAAAACAAATTTCAGTTTACATTATTTTTATATAATTTTTAAATTTAAAAATATGATTTAATAGTATAGTAGACTTCTTTATCAGTCTGCTGAGAAGACTTCATTAATATTTTCAGTTTATATTATTTTTACATAATTTTTATAATCGTAATTGAGACATCCGTTTTTTGTTTACTCATGTAGGAGATAATAGTAATTTCTCTACCCCTCTGACCTATTTTTGCAATAGGTTGAATTTGGGGTATACTTTTGCATTTGGAATCAAATTGTGGCCTATTTTTAGCAATTCCCCTAATATTAATTTACAAGATTGAGATATTAAGATTTTGTTATAAAATCAGAAATTGTGGCATGTTTCAAAGTTAGAAATTATAGCATGTTTTAAAGTCAGAAATTGTGGCGATGAAATAAAACATGGGTAAAATTTTTGGAACCTATCTTCACTATTTACTTACACATAATAACTCAACTTTTTACATTTATATATGTCCATTGTAAACACATAACATCATTCACAAACTAATAACATATTCTCTCGTTCTTATTTTTCTCGTCTTTTTCTTTATCATTTCTCTCATTTCTTTTGCAGGTATAAATTTTTCATCTTTATTAATATTTATCTTTATGATAAATTAGACCTATTATTATAACAGATTTCAAATACTATCGATTAAATCTAACTTTAGTGTACAAAACGAAAATGCAAGTTTTCATTGAGTGGAAAACAAAAAATTGAAAAGCCCGTTCGGTTTGCCGAGTGAGAAGCAAATGTCATAGTCTTGTCCTGTAGTTGGAGAGGAAGGAAATTGTTTAAACAAAATTCGATCGTCTCCACACATAATGAGCATTTGATTCATAATCATCAAATCTCCCACATTTCTGCAGCAGAAAAGAAAGATCTTTCCTTTTGACTCCCCAATGAATCATGCAATCACAGAGCAAGAATTGCTCTCTCCTTATCTCCTCCTCTTCAAATCGCTCTTGCTCATCCCAGTCTCTCACTATCTCATCTCCTTCTTCCTAACAATTCTACTTTTCCTCTACTTCTTCCTCGAGATTCATTTTCCTAGATCAGATCCTATCTCTCTCACCTTCAATCCCAGCTCAGACTTTTGCCAGTTTGTTGTCTCCAAGTGTCGTCTCCTTCACGGACGGTAAAGAGTTTTTATCTTTCTGGTCTTGATCCATCCAAAACTCATCGCAAAAATGCGGCCTTTCTTATGTACAAATTTGCAATTTCGATTTCAGCTACTTTCCTACGTTTTGGCTCTCAAGCCCTCATCTTCAAACAGCGTTTCTTAGCCTTGTTGGAAACTCACCTCGTTTCTGCTACAAGCGGTGAGTGAGTTCATAAACCGGTGCTCTTGTGCTTGTTCAGATCTTGTGGGCACAAGTTATGTGTTCCTTATTACATGATCTTTGAGATGTATGAGTAATATTGCATCTGTTTTTCTGTGGTCTCAGAAATCTCTTTCAAGCAACAGATGGTGGCACAATTGCTTTGGACTGGTTAATGCATTCTGATGGTTTGTATTAAAGAACAATACATTTGGTCATTTTCAGCTTTGAATTTGGGTCTTTCTTTTTATTGCCTTAAGATTTTGTGTTCTGCACAGTCATGGAAGGCATATCTCAGGTGGTCAACGGCTTAACTCTAGGAAATGATAGAACTCCAATTGCTATTGTGGTTCCAGGGCTCACTAGTGATTCTACTGCTGCTGTAATATTTCGTTTCACCACACTCCTTTCGATTCCTCTGTTTTCATTTTGTGGCTGCTCTTGTTTCGTTCCTTTTGCTTACTCGATATTCGATAACCTCGTTTACTCTTTTTTCCACAGTATATTAAACATCTTGCCTTCAGGCTGGCCAAGGAAGGATGGAATGTTGTTGTGAGTAACCACCGTGGACTTGGAGGGATCTCTTTAACTGTGAGTGTCTTGGTTTTATATGTGAGTTCTTGGTTTGGTTTCATTTTTTTTGTATCTAGGTAACATTTGGGTCATAGGTGCATGACTATTATTTAAATAGATTAATGAGTTCCTAGAACGAGAATTATGGGATATATCGATTTGTGACCAGCAATCTAGCAATTAAGTTCACCACTAAACATGCTGGAAGCGTATGTTTAAGGTTATTAAACGGATTAAGTAGCTTTGAAAACTTTTTTTTTCATAAACTTATCATTTGTGTTAGTTCATTGAATTATTTATGTGGATTGGTAAAATTATGATTCATCGACTGACTTGAATTTTCAAACCATTAATCAGTCTGACTGCTTCTACAATGCGGGATGGACAGAAGATCTTCGGAAAGTAATTGATCACATCCATTCTCAGTTCCCAGAGGCTCCTCTGTTTGCTGTTGGAACAAGCATTGGTGCCAACGTTCTGGTATATCTCTTCTCTTTCACCTTTGATACAATGATACCCTAGTCTTGCATCAAAAGATTGAAACGTCGTGGTGATCATTGTTAGTTTTAAAGGCATAACGTACAACACAATCGGTTTGATATCTCACATTTAATTGCTACGATGAAATTGAGCGGGCGTTGATCCAGGTTAAATATCTTGGGGAGGATGGGCCTGATACACCTCTTATTGGAGCTACTGCTGTGTGCTCTCCATGGGATCTTTTGGTTAGTAGACCCTCACGTCCACTCCAACTGAAATTCTGTGATATTGCTTACTGTTTAAACATGATAGTGAAAACAACGAATCTATTCTTTTCACGAATATTGTGTCTGTTTCACATCATCTTCCTTGAGATACTTCAATTTGGCTGAGTTTCATAAGCTACTTGCTTTGTTGATCGCAAGTTCTGTCCTTTTCGATGTTTCTCTTCATTTCACTTTCAATTTATCGTTCATTCTCTTTAATCTACGAGTTCCCTCTAGTATATTTTATTCCCAAAAATGAATAAATTGGTCCTGGAATCTGGGAAAAGAAAACAAACATGCCTTACTATCAATGATGGTGTTCTTTGCAGATATGTGACCGATTTATCAACCGAAAACTCGTGCAAAAACTCTATGACAGAGTGCTTACTATTGGTCTACAAGGTTATGCACAATTGTATGTCTAAACTCTTGTCTTGTTTTGATAACTTTGTATTTTTTTCTACCTACTTTTGTCTCGCTTTAGTCATGTCTTTCTTGTTCCCTTACACATGGTTGTAACCTGCAGGCACCACTCCATCATTTCTCGTATAGCCGATTGGGAAGGCATTAAGAAGGTAGATTCTGAATTTCTTTCTATTTTCCAAATCAAGTAAATTGACTTTAAAGATTCATTCCTTTCGTGTCTTGTTGTTTTAGTCACGTTCAGTTCGAGAGTTTGACAACTATGCCACCAGACTTGTTGGCAAATTCGAGGTGTAGTTGGTTTTATATTCTCTCTATCCTCTGTTTATTTTTCCTCTCGTTCCATTTTAAGAAGCAGAAAATCCAATCTTTCATGGTGCAGACAACTGATACATACTATAGACGTTCAAGCAGTGCGCAATTTGTGGGAAATGTCGCTGTTCCGCTCCTTTGTATCAGTGCTTTGGATGATCCAGTTTGTACTAGGGAAGCTATTCCTTGGGATGAATGTAGGTAAGAATCTCTTTGCTTTTACCCTTTAATCATGCTTTCCTCCACTATTCAACTCCACAACTGATAAACTAAATTGATCTGCATCCATACTCCTCTGGTCGACTCCATTGTACTCCTGTTCTTCTTGGTCGTAAGGCCACTGGATAAGTCTTTATGAAGAATTCAGCTGTTAAGAGGATAGTTACAGGAACAATTAGTATAATTAAGGGAATTAACCCGGATGTGAAGGTATCAGAGTATCGGTGGAATTGGTTTTGGCTCTAGAAGTCATTACTATTTGGTTTTGTTATTACTAGAATGTTCTTTAATGCTCTAGAAGTTTATAACAAGATTACCGTTGCTAAATTGAGTTGGTGAATTTTCTGTAAAACAGAGTTTCTCTGTTCCGTGTGTGGCCAAATTAGAAAAGTGAACGATTTTTAGGCGTAGTTGGCGAAATTTGATGAGTTTCTAGGATGTATCTTTCTGCAGCACGTTTTGATGGGTCTCCATGTATCATGTCTTAACTTTTGCAGGGGAAATAAAAACATAGTTCTTGCAACCACAACACATGGTGGTCATCTTGCTTACTATGAAGGGATTACAGCAACAAGCATGTGGTAATTCTCATTTTCTTAGATACTCATCCAACACTCTATTCACAAGGAATTTATTAGGAGTGGAACTGAAATGTGTAGTAGTGTCATGTTAAAGGTGGGTTAGGGCTGTGCAAGAATATTTTGAAGTGCTACTCTCTAGCCCCTTTGCAGAACGAAGACAGAAGGTACGAAAAGAAATGACTTACTTTTAGTCCAATACGGCAATACCATATATAACTACTCTTAGTCTCTTCTAAGACATTCATCATATCATTTTTTCAGACGCAGATCATCCCCGAACCATTGGGATCTTCGATTGATCAGGGACCATTTCTTGTGGATACCGGAGAAGATGGGATTATTGCTGCTGCAGCAGCAAGTGAAGTGGAGACAAGAGCTGATGCAGAACAAGAGAGTAGTGCTCAAATCGAGAAGACAAGTTATCATCTACAAAAGGACAACACCCCTCAAGGTTATAACAGTTTACTCGGTCCTTTGAAGAAGAGAGTGGATCAGCTTTCAAGATACAGCCGGAAATCAATCTGGCTATTAGCATACATTGCTATAGTCACGACGTGGCCACTTCTAGGCCCTGCGTTGTTGATCTCAATCAAGAAAAGATTCAGAAGGGTCGTCGAAAAATAGAAATCATACTCTTATTGCAAAATAGAAGCCTTTGTACCATTAATAACTTTTGATTGTATTTCATTGTAACCCACTTGATATAAGGCATTTGCCATTCTATACAAAGCTCTCACAAGACTTTACACCTCAACATAAAAAAAAAAAAAATCTCTATTTTCATTCAGAATTGGTATTTCAAAGGAGAATAGAACGAAGAAAAAGCAGCTAGAAAGTAAAACACGTGATAACGTTTGCTATGCCTTCGGAGTTTTAGAGTGTGGTCATAAAAGAAAAAGTTGAGGGTTTTAGCTAGTGACCACGGCTCATCTTAACTTTCGGCATTGCCTTTTTCACCTGCCTTGCTCTTTCTTTTACCTCTTTCTTCCTTAGCACTTCTGCGCTCAGCTTTGCTTCTGCTTCCTCCATCATTTTCTTTCTCTCAGCTTTCTTCTTCTGCAATGCCTCTTGCCTCGCGTTCTGAAGTTCTTTGTACGCTTCCTCTGCTGCTTTCTGCCTACCACTCTCAGTTTTGTTCCGCGCCTTCATTAAATATAAACACTTAAACTTCAGTTTTCCAACACCCCAAAACAGACTCTAACGAGTAGAAGTTTGCAATTTACCTGCGAGCTGAGCCTGTATCGTCCTACTAAGTCGATGTAATATGGAATTAGCGCCACCAAGCGGACGATCTCATCCATATGTTTAGCATCGGGTAAGGAAAACTTGAAAAGCATCATCTTCTTGTGTTTGCCAGTGTGCTGGTCAGATATATGCATCGACATGAAATTCCTCCCATGCTTCTCCATAGCCTTGTCACCAAAAACCTACAGAGATATATTATAGAGATAAATCAAGTGCAAACACTAAGCAAAACAAGAATCCGAGTTAAAACGAATTAAGGTTCATATTAGAAGTGATTGATTTCCCAACTTTGCCACAGATACAGATACATACAGAGAGAGAGCCATGGACCAACTTCCATTACTGAATTATTAAGGTCATGATGCTTAATGATACTAAAACTTCCTTCCAACATACTTTACACTCACCTCACTATAAAGCAATAAAGCCTATTCAAGTACAGTCCAAATGTCTGAAAATCAAATTTCAACTCAGAAATGAGACAAACTGTGACTACTAGTTCTCAATCTAGTAATCTTTTTCCTCCTTTTGTCTTAAGAATAGATTCTTGCTAACTAAATCACCAGATACATCTCTACTGTAGAATCTGAGAGAGAGAGAGAATTCTTACCTGATCAAGCACAGTGTCTGTGATCATATCCCCAGCAACTTCCTTTGATTCAGAGATCACAGCTAGCTCCTCCGATACCCATTTCCTCCCGGCCGGAGGAGACACAATCCCGGCGAATCTCTGCAGATCCTTCACATCCTTTTGCATCGTTTTCGCCGCCTTCTTCCTCGCCATCGCAAACACGACATGATCCATGCTCTCTTCATTCATGTAAACCTCAAAAGTGATCTCATCTTTACAAGGCACCACCAAGTTAAAAACCCTCGAGATCAGATCGTGTCTGCTCTTGAGCTCCATAGTGGCCAACAATCCATGGCAGTACCTGCGTCCGCTCGCGTAGAATTTGAACACATTCAGCGCTTCTTTCAGCAACAATGGCGACTCCTCTCCTTCACCAACTCCCAGCAAGCTGAAATTCTTCTGGAATATTGTGTCCTTGGAAGCAAATTTCGCCGCCCAAGCTAAAGCGAGCCTCTCGTTCTCGCGTTTACCGACGAAGTAGTTAATTCCGAGAGTGATTAAGAAACAGACGCAAGTGATCTCTACAATGTACGACTTCTTCTTCTTCATCGGAACAGTAGTGTCTTTAGCAATCGAAGCTGTCTCGGGATCTACCTTCTCTGTCGTGTTTTCTACAATCAACGGAGACTCTAGAGTCTGTGCCGTCGCTATCTCCACCGGTAATCCTTCGAACTCATCTTCATCCCAAAAATCGAACGGCATTGACGAAGGATTTTTAGAATCGGTTTCAGGCTTGGGATCTGATTCGGGGATGAGATCGGAGTTAGAGTCGTCGGAAGATGGTTCTGGATCAGGAAGCGAGGAGTGAGACTGGGTGATAGTAGGCGGAGGGAGAGAGTGGTGAAGGTCAGAAGAATCGTCGGAAACATCATCGTCTTCAGCATCAAATCCTTCGAACTGGGAAGCTGAGAGAAGATGCTGGTGAATAGAAAGGTAACAGATGAGAGCGAAGGAGAAGAAGGAGAAAGATCGGCTCATTGTGGAGAAAATGAAGCAAAAGATTCAACACTGAGATCAATATGAAACAATGCCATATAGGAAACTAGCCGGGAATGCAAAATGTACAACCGAACCGAACCGAACCGTCCTAAATTGAATAGAAATTTCCAAAACTGAATCCGAACCAAATTAAAAAGAACTTGAACGTAATAAAAATTTGGTAAAACGACTTATTTTCCTCTCTGAAGTTTTATATAATAATATATTTACACGAAGTTTCAACCTAGTCATATATCTCATATCTCTCTCTTAAAAAAGTTGTAAACTTATTTCTCATCAATTCAAACCAATAATTATGGTTATATATATTTTGAATTTTTGAATTGGGGTAAAATAGGTTTACAACTTTTCTAACAGAGATATATATGACGAAATCAAAATTTTAGGTGAATCTGTTATTATATGAAACTTCAGAGGGAAAAATACGTTATTTTCCCTAAAAATTTCTATTTTGAATTAACTAATGCTAGCACTAGGTGAAAGTACTGATTAGCACCGAGACTGAAAATTTTTCACTAAATTTTAATAATTTTAAATGTTTTAATTACTTTTATTAGTTTTTTCTTGTAGAATTCACATATTTTGTTCAAGATTTAGGTTTTAAAGATCTAGTTTGATATTATCATATGTAGAAACATGAAATAAAATGTAAATATCATTTTTAAACTTGAAATGCATAAAGAAGTCAAGATCGAATTGACATAATATTCAAAAGACAAAAAAAAGTCCAATCACATGATGATACAAAAAAAAAATAGATGGTCTTGATCATGAGAATACACAAAAAATAGTTAAAGAACAACAACATCTTCATCCTTTCCTTCTTCAATAATCAAGTTATTATGTGTTATAGACTTATATATGTCTTATATATTGTTACTTAGTAAGTAAACCTGTTGAAAAAAAAGAACTTGTTAATTAGATCAAAGAAAAGAACATTCGGTGAGAAATGCATATGTACCAATTTTCATCAGCCAAAGAACAAGAATATTGTAGACATTAAACCAAACAAACCAGAGCATGGATACATTAAACATTAAACCAATCAAACATCGAGACCAGCCTACAAATTTTACTCAGCAAAATCAGAGCATTGAAACATCAAACATAAAGAAACATCAGAAGCATCAAGCATCCAGAACAGTCATCAAATATAAAGAAATATCAGAAGCATCAATACATCAAACAACACAAGTGTATTGCAATTTTCAAATAACAGAAGAAGTCAAAGTGTTTAATAACATTTAAACTAACCTGAGTACGTAGTTTGTGAGTCACGAAACAGAGGAACCTCTTGGTATAATACAGGTTCGAACTCCATGTCAATAGCATCTTCTGGTTCAGACTCGAAATCATCATCATAGATGTCTCTTACCCGTGGAGTTTGTGTGGCTAGAATAAAATTGGCTTCACTGTCTTGGTCTTCCAAACATGGTCCAACGATCCATTCTCCTACGGTATCTTCATTACCATCTTCAAAGATGGCATCTGCATTTTGGTCTCTTATTTTTTTCTGCTTTTTGAATAGCTTAGCATTAAATTGGACATAGAGTAGACTGTTTTAACCGACTAACATCTAGTCTATTCCTTTTTTTTTGTGGATCTGCAAAATCAGAGTACACTAACCGATTCAAAGCAGCTATAAAAACTTACAATATGAACTTATTGAAAACAATATAAGAGATAAACCAGAATACACTAACTGATTCAAAGCATCTCCAATTTCGTTCACAACCAGAAGAACTAGAGGTCAATGCAAGTATTCTAGTTGCTAAGTTTTGCAAAGTTGGTGCGCCACATCCATAGATTGACCACCAATTTCGTGTGGCAATTCAAGTGATGTTAAAATCAAAGGAGAAGGTTAAACGATAAACAAGAACTATAAGGGTGAAGAGAAATACATGAATCAAACTTGTCATCTCTTGTTTCACAGCTTTTTAATGCTAATCGATTGCCAAACAAGCCAATTTTGTTCTTGTAGAGACTAACTTCATGATTCATGACCTTATCTTGACTCTCAAAGTTACCATGATAAAAAGTCTCCACACAGCTTATGAATCCTTCTACGATATCCATCTCAAACTGGATAGTGGAGTCTTTGTAGAAGTAAAACCGGTTTAAGAAGTATGCAGCCAGATGTAATGAAGAATCCAACCTACCTTTCATCTTATAATAGATGATCTGAAACACAGGCTGATATTTTTCTCCAAATGATCACAAGCTTCCTTGATACAGTTCTTAGCTTCTAAATCTCACCAAAAACAAATCCCATAGAAGGTATCTTCTCTCCATCGGCCATCCTTAGCACCTTCACCAAAGGGCTGAATATTTTCAAAACTATCATCACAGACGTCAAAAATTGAAAACTAATCAGTCTCGAACACATTATTTCCCTTCAAAGACTTTGAATGAGTGCATTCATGCCACTCATCACTTGTGAACATTGCCTTTAACTTAGCCTTCTTCTCATACAAGCCGTGGAGAGTCAAGAAACAAGTTGCAAATCTTGTTGTTCCAGGTTTCACGATATCTCTCTTCTTTGGATAACCTCTCATCATTGACAGAGTTTTATGATGAACATAGATGAATATGGTCGCCGCTTTTGCTTGACTAATGACTTTGTGAAAATTTGGCAACTTTGATACTCCCTCAAGCATCAAATCTAGAGTGTGAGCCGCACATCCACTCCAAAATATGGTCGGTCTCTTCTCTTTAAGCATCTTAGCAGCAGATACATTGTTGGTTGCATTATCAGTCACCACTTGCACTATTTTTTTCAGCCCCTATCTCTTCAATGCAACTGTCAATGTATTTAAAGATGTGCTCACTTGTATGGGAATATTTAGAGGTGTCCTTTGATGAGAGAAAACATGTACCTCCTCTTGA